GGACGGATGCCTACATGTAGAATACTTTAACATCAGATCCCATACCCATTACTCGTGGTGTTATTCAGCGGAGCAAACTTGGCTTATCCCTATTCACCATATGTGGTAATGACATCGTTAACATACGTAGCAGTGGCACGGCTCATCCTTACAACCATGATGTCAAAACTGTCCATAATTTCCATCTCAAAAAAAAAACAATGGACTGTCGCGAGTGGTAATGACATCGTTAACATACGTAGCAGTGGCACGGCTCATCCTTACAACCATGATGTCAAAACTGTCCATAATTTCCATCTCAAAAAAAAAACAATGGAACCACTGTCGCGATTTTCACGAAATTACACGTATTATATGACCAGTATGATATGCTTCTATAAGCAGACGCTGTCTTCTGGCTTTTTGTTTTGCCTAAATGGTCCACCCATTAGGGTAAACTGGACAGCAGTTCAGCTCCATACTTAGAACATCCATGATTCAAGTATACGCTTTCCGTTTGCCCATAATTTCCGCGAAAAGATATCCCTCCAGGTTTCCCTTGAATGTGTCCCTATTGACTGCATCAGCCAAGACTACCACCCCAGATACCAAAGTGATGGTCTATACACCTTTTTTCGCCTCAGCATCTACATCAAAAAGCTCAGGTGAAACTGAATGAATGAAGAAGGCCTTCAAAGAACATTCATCAAAGCCAAACGTGGAGCACATAAGACCTAAAATACCAGCAAGATATTGAGAACACTCTTGGCCTGAATTTAGGAAGTTGACTGTGTGTTATCGAAACATTATGTTGACGTACCTGTCCGGATTTCGTTCATCCAGACCCTCTCAAGCATGCCCATCATGCCTACTGATGAAAGGAGGAAGGCCTTCGCTGCGGAGTCACTTATTAGAAAACGCCAACTGAAAAGTTACAGACTATTGGACAGGGAAGCAAAACTCATTTGCATCTTGTTTACAGAAATTGAATATCCATCCTCTCTTCGAACGCGTCTTCCTGAACTTTTATGGATATTTATTAACTCTTGCTCAAATACAAGCAAATGCTAGAAAGCGACCACACAAACTCCGCAATAGATCTCACTTTTCAAGAGACGCAAAGCGGACTTACGAAAAAAACATACTACTCGCATGCCTTTCCATCAGTAGTATCACCGTTACACTGGTAGGTCTCATGAAGAGATCCAAACCTGTAGAGTGTTTCACAAAAGCGCCCAAGTAAGCCAACATGACCATTCTTTCAATGGCTTCAAATAGGTGATTTCGCCAGAATGTCCAACCAGCAGATGATCCGGGAAGAAGCTTTGCGTTTGAAGGCCTTATGGACATTGCAAATGTCAGACAAAGCCAGATTGTCTGACAAGGAGACCTGCATCCAATGCAGCCTCCATCTCAATCGTTTTTATCATTTGACCACAGCCAAATACAACTGTATGCTGTTGGATCGAAGGATTATGGATGTACGATGGTAACAGAATAGAACTTGGCATAAAAATGCTTATAACGCGTTGGCCTGACACTCAGATTTGTAATCTTCAACCAAGCTACCCACTATTAACTTTTTTTCTGGCAAGGCCGATCTCCGTGGCCAACCTTACCGTTTAACTTGGAAAATTTAACACACCTATCGAACAAGATGGCCGATACACAGGCATTTGAACAATTACAATTCAACCTACGGTGACGTAAGGAAAGGTAACTTGAGAGGACAATAAATCTGCTGATAATGCTCTTAGAAATGACCTAGGCGTGATCAACCGTTGTGTAGATAAATTTAACGCAGATGGTGATGACATGAGTATTTTTCAGGGGAGCATCCTGGAAGCACAAATACTTGTGTAACATGCGTATTACTTCGAAACGAGCGTCACGTGCATTCGGATGTGAGTTGTTTTCAGGGTGTTCACAATTCCAATTAGCAAGGCATTTTGCTGTGCAGTCCTAGAGAGAAATTTTGAACTTTGTTGCGAACTGTCTGCGAAACATTTTGCTTTTTTCCCTTATTTGTTTTGGCCTTTGAGGTGGTGCTTATGCTGAAAAGGCAAGGGGGATTGTGCATGACCTTTTATTATATCGCTGCTCCCTAAAATTTTGTTTTATTGTCAGCATTGGCCAGGTTGACTAGTCATCACCTAAAGGGACAAAAGGAGGTCATCACCATCAACTCTATTCGGCGTTCGGTATTGAGCTGGTCAACTTAATCAGGTTTGACAAATATTTCAATGATAGTAGTAGTAATAAATTAACATCATCACAATTATTCCGTTTCATTTGTCTGTTTACACAAGAGTGGAACACCGCACTGCGATCAACTCCGATTCACCTTTGAATTTTCGTTATATTCGGATGCTTTGTAGTCGATTCGTAAAATTTCTGCGCTTAGCTCAATCACGCCAACGCATCTTACAGGCATTCGGACCACAAGGAACAGTGATGCGTTTCATCGTGTCAGTTCACTCTGACAGACCAAGAGTACTGGTGTTTCGTCAGTCACCTTTATGTAAAAACGCCACGGACAGTCATTTGTTCTATATTGTGGAATAGGATGAAACAGGGAGCCACTCACTCTGTCGGTATAACGCGGAAGTGTACTGATTACCTAATATCATTGTTACATCAAACGATTTTCTCACTTTAGCGGTTTTTTACACCAAATGAATAACAACAACCGAATGGTCTGCTTCATATACACCTGTTTGATTATGCCCGCTGGAAAGACTGGATTAACTGCCAGTTATACCGGTGAGAAGAGGAAGGCCTTCGCTGCGAAGTTATTCATTAGAAACTGCCAACTAAACGGTTACAGACTATTGGACAGGGGAGCGAAACTCTCATACGCATCTTGTTTACAAAACTGAATATCCATCTTCTCCTAAACGCGTCTTCTTGAACTTTTCTGGATATTCATTGACTCCAATCATTCATTGCTCAAGTCCAAGCCAATGTTACAAAGCGACTTCACAAATTCCGCGACAGATCTCTCCTTTTCAAGAGACGCAAACGGATTTCCAAGAACAATACATACTACTCACATGCCTCCCCATCAGTAGTATCACCGTTACACCGGTAACACTAGTCAGCGAAGTTATATTTCTGCACAGTCGTTGGTGGATGATAAAAGCACCAAATCTACGGTCGCGACCACAATAATAATTCCGTCATTATGGGTGGCCCCGTCAAGGAGCCACACAGTCTACTCTACTCTGCTGTGATCGAATCGGTCCGTTCGATTGTAAACGGGCATCCGATTCACCCACGATCGATGATTAAAATATCACTATCGGTTACGTGGATGGGCGATTAGACGTTCTACCTAGGAATACACCGATTCCATTACAATACCAATAAATCGCGTCCAAATGGTACTTTCAGTTGGGACCCACACATGCTACTTCGGCCACATCTGTTAGAGCATGTGGCCAAAACTAGCAACTTTGGTGTATATGGACAATCAACCGGCCGTTGCATCTGTTCATCAAGGCTACTTTACCAGGCCGGCCACTTCACATTTGATTCAAAAGCGACCAACAGTTCTGTTGTGGCGGTAAAACCATTGGCTTTCACTTCTACTTCCCCAGGACTAGCATTCTTCTCGATGGTTGCTCGGATGTAGAGTGGTCCTTATTTCTAACTTATCAACCACGCCATGGCACTCGATCACACCTGTTTTGTTCTTAGTTTGATGAAAGTTTGCAAGTTTTGATCGAAACTTCGTCCTGTGAGTAAAGCAAGTCTACACCTCAAAGCCGAGATGCACCGTACAGCCGTTTCATCCCTATTGTGAATCGTCAACAGTGCACATCTCAAGAAACTCTAGGGATACTCAAACCCTCGATCTCCTGGCCAGCAGAGTGGCTGGTCAGTTGTGTGGTTATTTTCCTCTTAGACAAGACTCACATCACATGTTGGCTGGGTCCCCTTTTACCAAGCACAAATGTTTACAGGATGTCCCTCAGTGACATGGTAATACGTTGTTTATTTTGCTTAACAGCAGTGCAACGGACAGCAAATGGACACACGCAACACTTTCACACATTCTTGAGCAGACCGACTGCCAAAGATTTCATTTAGTGCACAATTTGATAACTGAAAAAATTCACTCGGAAAATGGAAGGGTTCAGTCTCAGACAGGTCACCATTTTACGGAATTACCTAGAGTTCAGTATATGTGAGTTTCATTACCCGTTGAAATGTAGCAAAAGGTGAAACTGTCCATTTCTGCAGAGGCTAAAAAAGTATGATCATTTCTGCAGAATCTTCCGGGACCAACAAGAGAACTCCGATAGTACTTAGCCTACTCATGTAAAAAAACTATGGCTGAAGCGATGGAAAACCAACCATCTATTAAAAGCCCAAAAATGTGACGCCGTTTGTAGGTTTCTAGAAACCGTTCGTGCGTATCGGACTACCGGATAGATAATTGAAAAGCAGTGTTATGACGTAATAAACTACTCATTAGGTTGCTAGAAACTCTTTGAAGACCCATGACTGTTTTTTTCCTTCTTGGGGCTCATCAGATAGGTGCGGTCCCCAAGTTTCTATCAACTTCCGTTCTACTTTTTTCACCCTTTCCACGAGTCGATGTCATCCATAGGCTGCTAGAGTGGTTTGGTTCAGTGTAGTTTACTCCCACCAGTAGACCGACTGTTCTTCCATAGAGCACGCTCTATCAGCGCCACTGCTAGAGGGCACTTTAAATATGGTTACATGATGGATATCTTCATGTCATGGTTGATTAACTACATAAACTACTATGGACTTTGGCTGGCTAGCACGGGATACTAGTGTAGACCAAAGTTTATTGTTATCCGCAACAAGTGAAAACACTCGTTTTCTGCCATCTTTAAGTCTCTGGTACCCGAACCACATGTGTTAGAAAGTGTTATTTTTACGAAGGTACAAAGTTTCACAGAAATCGATTTGTATAGATAGTCCAGTAAATACCTGTGGAGGGAGCGCAATCAGAACTCGCACTATTATTATAAGCGCATGAAAGCGTGATGAGTTCACAGTTGAACGGGATGCGTCGTGCCGTTATTTTGCTGGTGGTATGCACAGGTAAGCCTTAGTAGGTTTGATAAAGTTTCGATTGCAGGTTTCTTTTGCCTGGCTACCGATAATGAGGCAGAAACTATGGTAAGTCGCCATTGACTGTATTCGAAAACCTAGCAGTGCGCTGACGGAACTGATGGGAGCAATTTGCTGCACACTGTGCACAGCATTATGCCACCTGTTCGTTGCGTTTTGATTATTCACTATGAAAGTAACATTCCACAACAGTTTCATTAATTCAGCTTTAACTAGTACAACTATACTAGGTAATATTTGTTTTATATAGGTTGCCATGCAGAATGGGTTGGACTGGCCACAATGGTATTCGGAAGATGGTTGACTGAAGATAAAGAGTGATGATTTCCAAGGGATTTAATCGTTTTCACGACTAGCAAAGGTATACTTTGCCGTTACAAATTACTCAACAACATCGTAATTTATTCCGACATACTTTTGTGAGCTAACACTAAAGCGCTGAAATGTAACAATTCTCAGTAGCTGACGCCATTGAGAGCCGCTGAAGGCAGTCACTTAAGCGAGGTATACACCGAATGTGACAACCTGACGCTTGTTTGGCGTACACCATGGATCGGTTTTGACCTCGAGTTGCGAGGAATTAAGGTAGAAATGGTGTATTTAGAGGGATCATTAGACCGGAGACTTTGTGCTTGCTGCTGTTGTTGTGAAATGTTTGGCTACCGGGTCCTTAAGCTTTCCACTATGAAGCTGAAAATGATCACTACAAATGGGTGGTCATTGTTGAAGCGCTCCATTGAATAAACAAACCTAGTTGCAACGACAATTTACGTATGTCTCATCTCCTCCCGTTTTCCCCTATCTGATACAGAACAATGGTCTTGTGGTTCAAGGTCACCAGGACTCTGGAGCTGTGCGTAAGTTTTGTACACCAGTTTTATGTACTGGCACATGTTACCAAACATACTGGATTTTATTCTTTACATCTCAGAATGCTTGACATGCAAATTTGTTGCCCACGTCGCACTGAACTGGATTCAGAAACCGAGCACAAGAGATACGCTTAGTCAGAAAATTCAAAGGTCCTGCGAAGACTCACACAGTAAATTGGTACGTTGTAGAAATTCCGTGTACCTGCAAATAAATCGATCCCTTCAGATAACCAGTAATATAGGACAAAATCTGACTTATCACTACATTTTTATGTGGCCAATCTAATATTTCGGGTTTCTCTTTTGACGTCATCATGGATTTATCATGCACTTAGTTCAGGTCATTTATGTATTCTCATGTTTCGCTTAGTTTTCCGTTATTATTACATCGTTTTTGGTTGTGATGTGATAAGATTTCTCGTATAAAACCATTATCAGTTGTCCAATGAGCAAATTGTCTGGCTACAGAGCAGATTTCTTCAAACTTGAGCCAATTAGTCTTCTGATGTGAAGCAAATGCTGTATAAGGAATATGGTCGTATCACACTGCATGGGTGGTATGGTATTGAATTGATGGGGAACAATTTTGTTAAATTCAATTATTACGAGTATACACATTGAACCATCAAGTTCTGCGATCATTGTTTTCCTGGGCACCAGGTTTGTCAAGACACTATTGGGTGTTATCAAGCGGCCGAATACATGGCAAAATTGGACATTTAGGTAAGCCTGATAGAACCCTAACGATTACAGAAGTGTGGTGAACAGCAAGTAATCAGTGGTGTGTATTTTAATTTCAATTATTGGGAAAATTCGTACTGACAACTGGACTGAAGGTACGTTCGTTCCGAGCAAGAAACTATGGGTCGAAGTTGGATCACAAATAGCTTTTCAGCCACACACAAACCACAAGGGTATCAGAAGTATCCAGGCCTGTTTATCACGTAAATTACTGTCCGGAGAAGGATAATGATTAACTCACGCAGAGCCACTCTAGCACGATTGTTAATGAAGTGGGTCAAATCTGGTTACCACTGACTCGTTCCTAATGTAGGTTTGGAGGCAAAAGCGCTTCTTCATATGACGCGATACCTTTACACGAATGGATCACGTGACCATATAGTTCGACGTAAATCTTATGAGATTCAGAAAATAATGCAGCTGCAGAATCTCGATGCTTCCTGTAACAGGACACGTAGCAGTGGCTTTGTGCTTTATGGATAAAATAGTGAACAGTTGCAAAACTTAGCTGAGTCCCAACTGAGTCTCTCGTTGATGACGTCCTTCAACGGTATCAACATTGTGAGCTGCACATTACCAGGCATGTTCCATAAAGCGGAGTAATCTTACGTTACAAGCAACTATCAGAAAAATGACGCTGCGTTATGGCTTGTTCAGTTCCCAGGACCACAATCCCTCACTGAAGTGCCAATAAGCAACCTGCGTCATGTCCCTTAAGAAAAGTTTTTGAGTTTTAGTGTCAGGCATCTAAGAAATAGAAAAGTTCCCTTTTTGTCACGTTCACAACGGAATGTCAAACCGGATGTATATTCCCGGCTGGCCAACTTAGATATTCAACTCTGTCATTATGAACGGAAAATAATCGCTAAAGGTTGTGGCATCTAGTGACTATGATTGCAAGCTAACCAGCCAGAGAAGAGACCACTTCGTACTAACAACAATTATAATGAGCATTGTTTCGAGGGTCCGAAAACCCGGGGACTTTTTGGTCACCACGGTACCATTGGGACAAACAAACTGTCCGTAACGATGTAACTTCGGTAACTAGGTGGGAACCGAGGGTGTGCCCTAGTCTACCTGAATGATGTCAGTAGAGTGTGTATTCAAAAAAGTGAACCTAATAAGGCAATGGAGCAATGTGGACAACGCTAAAAATCGTTTGGTTTTTTTAGGCATAAGATTCATGAACCTATAACGAAGATCGTAGGTGCAAGGATTGTTCACCTATAGGTCTTGTCTAAAGAAATGGTACTCACTGGGTGCTTTTTCATGACAAATTATACTTGATGCAAATAGCATCATATTATTTGCTGTCCTTCCTAATACTGGCAGTTTTCGTGAGACCATGGAGTTTTTTTTTGCTGAAATTATTTGACTGAGCTCCACAACTTGATCAGTAAGTCCGATCATGGCTTCAACTTTATTACATTCAGCCCACACTCTTAAAATTCCATTCAAATCAAACCACTAGTTTGGTTGCTCTGGTATTGCACAGCTTATTTGTGCTTTCAAACCACATTGTTGATTCGTTCATCTGTGGGACAGAAAGGTCACAATGGAAACACCGAGCGACTTCATCAGTAAAACAATTGTTTGTCGCCGTGGTAGCCGAGAGATGGGTTTGCTAGAACGCGGGGGTTGTCGCCTACATTACAATAAAATGGCCACAGACACGGGACTGTTCACTATGTTCACTCCACTAGATGCTCGGACAAATTGTTGTAACAGTAAGGTGATGAACTAGACAGTGAGCACCGCATCATAGAAACTGACAGAGAATACGATCGCAATCAGCAAATTCTGTATCACACAGTTCTTCATTCTGAAAGAATATCATGGAAACTTGGGTTTAGACTCCGGCCCGCGAGGGAAAGATTGTGCTCACTCAGTACAGTTTGACCGGATTAGTGGTAATTACTGGTTCACCGGGCACAGTACTATGAAAGTGTGACACGGTTATACCACTGGATTAGTCAGAAATCAGCTTTACGCTAAAGCACACAAAATGTACCCAGAAATCGGGTGAGGGATTTTTCACTGGCGAGACAATTCCTTGAGAGCCCTTCTGTGGGCAACAAAGATATGTTTTGTTTCAGGCATTGGTGTTTGCGGGATTTTGTAGAACACAGACTCACGTGACCCTCCTTGGAAAAATCATGCTCCTGTCCTTGCACGATCGTCCTGGTGAGTCCACACTAAAGGGGGAAAACACTGGACTCGAGTTTCGCTTCTATTAGAGCTCATCAACAGGGTATATTCAATGGCCGTGCAGGGGTTTGAGCCCTGCACATCTAACATGCGAGCCGAGCGTGCGAGCCCAGGATGAGCTGCTGAGCTCCAATAAGGTCTGAACTCGACTCTGGTGCTTTCTCCCATGACTCACAACGACGATTGCATTAGGACAGGAAGACGATCGCTCAAAGAAGAGTCATGTTCTGTCTCCTACAAAATTTCGAAGCCAGCGACACCTGAAGATACATTTGCTTGATAGATCGGGATGGTGGTCAAAACGTACGAGTAATCATCCAACTACGTTGGGGTTACAGTTGGGGATATTGCAGCAAATTGTGAGAGCTTATATCGACTCAAATCCTCTATGATACTTGGTGGTCATCTGAAGTCGTTAGCATAGTAGTAGTTAAGAGTTTCCGTCCTAACTAATAAGATTAGCTTAGGGTTACGTTACAAACAATCAGTCGACACAATAATATATGCTGTCCTAAATAGTTAGGAACAGTAAGGGAGTCTGGAAGCGATAAAAAAACTTTGCAGATTTAAATGACGACTTTGGTACAAAGAACGCTATTGATATTTGGAAGGTGCGTGACTAGGTTTATTAGAAAATTCTCATCATCTACCTGCCTTCCTATTAAAGATACGCTCAATCTAATGAAGTTGATGCCGAATCATCCAAATTAAGAATCAACCGACAACAACTTGTTAACCCAATATTGTGCATTTTCAATGCAATTCACTCTATTGAAATCTCACTTTTCGATCAGAAAAAGTTCAGCCTGCAATCAGGACTAATTTGTAGGGATAAGTTGGCAAATTGTACTACTTTCTCAGTGCTAAAATTATAGAGGTGCTTTTGCTGGAAAATCTTCCTACTTTTATCACCAAGTATCCGTGTGACTTCCGTGAAAGATCTTTGACCGGGCACAGGCTTGAAACTGCTCTCCTAACCAGCGTATTGAACATCAGGATAAAAGTTTTAACGCTCAGCCTACTGCATATTGTTCATCAGCTACCGCTTAACTGAATGCAATGGTCACCTGTGGGGACTGCCCCTGTAAGATGGCAACGAAATCCTTCCTTTTTGTTCCTTTCAACAAGGGACCAGCCCACTAGCATGCAATGATTGCCCTGGCTCTGTACATAAAATACCATATTGATGCGGGATAAGTTACCTAGAGGTGGTAAACTTGTCACATTTAGATCAGAGAGGTTTTGAAGGGGGAAGTAAACATGAAACCTCAATGAGGGATTTATTTGCACGAATGAAATGAAGGTGACCTATTGAGTAGACAGTTGCCGGAATTTCCCAGAGAGGACTCTTTAATGATGAGCTTCTCCGGTGGGGAATACTCATCAACTTTGACGAACTGCGCAACTCTCTATGAATTTTACCGTGACGTATATTCCCCACTTCGTAAATGGGTGACCAACAAGAGAAATGCATATTGTTGGTATTTCCCCAAGATAAAGCCATTTTCTCTGGAACTGTGCAGAGTGCTGTTGAAGATCTTTCATTGAAGTCACCTGCCTGGGACAGACTCTTTCTAGCCGGGTTATTTCTGAAGGAAGCATAGTCACAGTTGGCGCTGTATGGCTACTCAAGGAGATACTCGTTGTAATGAAACCGACGGCTTTGGGACAGCGGTAAGTTGGCAACTCAGTTAGCGTACTTCTGACCGGACTCGACCGAATTCTCCATAGGGGAAATCATAACTGGGAAAAATAATTTAGTCTCTCCGAAATTCAGTCGACCTCGCCCTAGCAAAAGTGTTCCGTCTTTAGATGGACGGAGCAGATTTGGCTGATTAGTAGATCTGCGACAGGCTAATCATGGAAATGAAATTTCAGCAAAGGGATCTTTTCTGGGGGCCAATTTATGTCCAAATCACACCATAACTCTGTGGTACGCTGGTTGATGACCAGAATGCGACAGAAACATCATGGAACTTCAACCGGCGTGAGATACACATGATAATGAGTGCTACAATATCTTACCGAAGCGTCTAACACGCATGACCCATGACTAAGTCATGGATTTTTTTTTGCTGATTAACATTTATTCAGCATTTTAGTTTGTACAACCCACAGCCATCATTAGAAACAAACGTTTCCACCAGGTATCTGTTAGTTTTGAATGGTATATGCATATACATACGTAAATATATACACATGCATATATTCATATAACGATTCAAAAATGTTTCCATAATATCGGGAATGTGGTATAAAATTCTTGCGAACTTTTGCATTCTGTACAGTGTTTTTTTATGTGATTCCTCTTATCCAGTAGTATGTTACCTTTACTAACCAATCTGAATGAAATTAATCAAAGTTTCACTTGAAGGGACATCCAACAATATTTGTTTTCGATTATATTTGGGCGTTTTGTTCCACAGTGCTCCTTGATTGCAAACCAATCACTGGCGTATGTGTTCAATACAATCAACAACATAACTTCGGAACAATTTTGTGTGGTAAGCAAACGCGCTACTTATTTGTAGTGACCGAAAAAATAGAATCGGTATACAGCAAACTTGCTATTTAATTGAAGTACATGAAAACATTTAACTCATTATTGTCGTGTTAGAATACAAACCACGAAAGTTCTATCGTTTTCATTGAGTTTGTGAAGTCCCTAGTCAAATGCCATGGTATACCTCACTCATTAGTAACTCATTGTGTAGTGAAATTTGCATAACACAGGCAGCCCATACATCTGGGGGAATGTCAGTGGTTTTTCTTCCAGTGTACTCGCCTATGAGCAGCTTGTACTCGCTTGTTATCCGTCCGTGAAAAAAGCCCATTGCGCTAGACAGGTGGAATCAAGACACTACTGACTCGAAACAGTAAATCTAGTTAATTACTTGGCACCTTCTAAGATACTGAGACATACGAAAACCGATTTTGGTATACTCCTTCAAGAGCGGGCTTTTGGGATGAGATTTCAGGATAATTGATCCCATAATTGACAGGTGATTAGCGTATGTTTGACTTCACTGGCTGATGGAACCTGTAAACTAATGCGAATATTTGTAGAGGCGTAAGTAGTAGTGAGTGGAGCTTTATGACAAACTTCAACAGCGCTATTTATTTTTGGTTTGTTTTGATGAACAAGAAACCTAACACAGTCAGTGTCATCAGTACGACTGAAATCGTTGCCGCAACGGTGGAATTTGACAAAGCTGTAGCAATAGGTCAGCTGTGTGCCATCTGGAGAGACGCTTTTGTTGCTGCACGCAACTTTCTATAGGGAAAGGTAGACAGGATTTCTAAGCATATATATTCCCCCCTCAGTGGATTCACCTTGAGCACAGCTGTAGACCTCCACATGCTCTTTATCACATATTTAAGTTTTAAGTGAGCACTCAGTTGAAAATAAACTCAGTCTGTACCGATAAGCTCAGAAACAACGTACAACACTTTCGTGTTTGCCGAAAATCACGGGAGCGCCCATCTGACGAAGGTCTGAGGGATTCAAACCCGCAAACCTCTGGTTAGTAAGTCAAGCAAGCAGTCGATAAACAGGTGAACATTTAGTGTGTATTTTACTAATAAAGAACGAGAAGCATCATATCCTGTCTGGATGCAAGCTGTCGTATTGCTGCTTCACAAATAGCGCCTGAATGATTTGCTAATAACCACGAGGTCGTGTTTGAAAATCGCACCAGAAATTCGTGGAATACGAATTGAGGGCCAGTGTTTACGAGGGCCAGACGACGGTACCGGGCTTTTTAGCTTTACAGCACAGGTTTACTTCACTCACAAGATGAAATGGAACGTCCTAACCTCTTTACCTCCCAGAAGGATGTACTACACTGTTAAAATATCCCATATAAAATTTTGAGGAAAAATAAACCAGCTGAATACAGAAATTCAAATGTATACTAACGCGGGAGCTGAAATTAATTCTTGATCTTAGATTATGTTGTATGCGCATAGTTTTATCCTATTCTCGCCAAAACACAGGTTGTCTTTTAGAGTAATAAAATAACGGGACGAAATAGTACTTCAGCCATCATTGGAGTTTGGTCTGACCTTTCTCCAGCGATGGGCGGAGATATGCGGACACCACTTCTCGTAATGCTTTGTTTGTATTTTGAATTAGCTTACTGCATTTGTGAACATAGATAAACATTCTTTCATAGAGTTGACTTCCGATGAACAGAATATACGGTAATTATCAATATTTGAAGAGTACGTACAGACGACCTGGATTCTATGTGGATTTTATGTCGTAAAAATATCACGTTCATATTATTAGATAAAGTATCAAATTCCACACTGCTGCAAGCTTCCCCCAACTGAACGCATGGAACTGATGGAGTAGAAATATAGTGAAACGGTCTTGTTATTGATAGTTTCTGAAAGATTTTATCCCAGTCAAAATTTTGTCGATTCTTATTTTTCACAAGCTCAATATCCAGTGGTGACTGTGTCCACCAAAAAGCTGTTGTTGATTCTTCTTCTTACCCCATTTCTAGCTGTACGAGTTTTGTCAAAACGTCGCGAAACCTGACTGTAAGTCATTTTTTCACGATTGCCTCGTCAACGGAATTTTGCCGACAAAATAAAACAAAGTATGTGCAACTCTTCAGTAGAAAGCCATTGTCATAATAAGTATAGCGTAAATATAGTAGTCCCAAGCATTATCAACACTGTAAAAAAACTAATGAGTCTCTAAAGAACTTTTTGAAAAGAGATCTATGCAGCATTCACATTTTACTGTAACATCTTTAAATATTGTCTGCTGGGTAACTTGACAGATATGTCTTGGATTCTCAGAAAGAAACTCGGAGGATCAGAAGCCTGATGTACTGTCAGTTACGCTTGTTCATAAATCCAAGAGAGTATATATAAAGCCCACACATATTGGGCATGTATGGCTAAGCATAACCAATCGACTGTCCAGAGTGTGCACTACCAGCTAGGTTTCTGATGTCCTGAATTTGCCGATGTGCCTTTGCTTTTTATCCAACAGGTAACCGCTGTCATTTACTCTCGGATTCTTTTGGTTGTTACAACCTCCCTTGTTTCCACTCATTGTCCACGTGAACCTGTTGCGATTTTGACGATTTCCAGCACGTGTAAAAGTACTTGGAAGCAAATGTTGATAGCACTTTTAGTGATAAAACAGTACCCTCTGAATATCTGCGGGTTGCAACTGGTCAGCCAATTAACGACAGTTCTGAATCTTTCTAACGATTACTTGAGAGATTTCACGAGAAAAAACTTCCTAAACTTGTTTATGATGAGACTGTCTTTGTTGTAACAAAACCCTTCGAGCATTTAGTAGATTCTTTCGGGTAGCGTAACCAGCAGTGAGCTTCTGAAAATCTTTGGGCGACCTTACGAGGTGGCTTGCGAGGGTGCTCCTTAGTCTTCCTGAGAATTTATTTAGCCATCAGCAACAAGGGGACCTTTTGTGAAGGAGGTACACAAAAGTGTAATACAACTACATCAGCCGTGATATTATCCTCAAAGTCTGATGAACACCACAAAAACTCTTAAGATGTGTTCTGTTTTGCCCACATTGTTCACTATATGGATGGCGCATTTTTGAGTAGGTTGGCGTGCAGCACATGGCCAAATGCTGAGAGCCACATAGAAAGAGTGAGAGACCCACTGACCAGCGCATTGGGCAAGTAAGTAAGCCAACAAGTTGGCCATGTTCCTGGAGGGAGCCAGGGTCGTCCAACAATGGCGCGATTGCAAATGATTTGAGCGCACAGTTCATTTGAAACGAAAATGAACATAAAAAACCAGAACAACGAAAAGCCGCACTACTAGTTTTAGTTATCTTAGCCTAATAAAGATGTAAGCGAATACTTCAAAAATAATAGTATGTGACGTCCAACTATTGTGAAAGTGAAGCAAACGTGTGGGGGAAACGCTGGCGACTGCAGAGGGGTTGTATACGACAAAACCTTCCGGCTTTTCCGAAGTTTGCCTCTATAAAGGAAGAAATCACTGATATCAAAGCGTTACCAGTGAAAGGAAGAATCCTTTGCTGCGGCGTTGTTTATTAGAAAATGCCAACCGAACAGTTACAGACCATTTGAGAGGGAAGCGAAACTTTCATATGCATCTTATTTACAAAAACTGATGATCCATCTTCTCCTCGAACGCGTCTTCCTGAACTTTTCTGGATATTCATTTTTTGTTGCTCAAATCCAAGCAAATGCGACTCCACGAGTTCCGTAATAGATAGCACTTTTCAAGAGCCGCACAGCAGATTTACGAGAAAACATACTACTCGCACCAGTGAGGCTAGCTAAAGACTCATCAAAGCAGTGCAATGTGTGCTGTGGTTGGCGTCGATGTTCTGCCGCGTGTGCACATATGTATGCTAAACAGCATAGATCCTTCACAACTGGCCCAGGGACAGAGCTGTAATGTCACGTTCGGCCGGCCAAGCTTAGGTCGCCTTTGCATGATGAGTTAAGCTGGACCGAACTGCAGATAACAATGCCAGATCTGTTGATGCTGTGTAGTCACCAGCAACCAACAGCCTACAACACCTAAACCCGTTCAACTTCTTCGAATCCACTTCAAAAATGGCCTGTTGAAATACGAGTCTGTTCGTTCATGGGAAGAATACTCTAGCAGCTGATGTCGAATGAATTTTCATCCTGATGTAACTCAACATAGTTCATTCAACAGCTTTCTAAACTTGCGCCAGAGGTCAAGGTCGACCAATAATAGAACTGATGACGAATATACATGAAGAGTTTTTTCTGTTTTGATCGTGTCCTGAATTATGCATTGACAACCTCCGTCTAACTGTGAAAGTATTTCCCAGTGGTGAGCTTCATCATGAGATAAGCCTGACCTCTACTCCAAGGACACTTGGAAGATTTAACCATACTTTTGTAGTCTTAGGAATAATGATAACCACTTTCCCTAGTTTGTTTAAACAAAAGGTTTGTATATCACCTGCTCCAGTTTGTAGTATATGTTGCGCAACGCTGGCCGAAATGAGGCGCATATTACTGGCGACCGATGTCCAACAAGAACTATTCAAGGAAATGATTGGAGCGTGTAAGAGGTATTCAGCTGTCTACGCCGTGGTAAGCTAGGGGACTGTTTTGTCGACTTTCCATATAACTGTATCGATGATGTTGATTTTGGTTTGAAAAAACGAAAGTTATTTTCACAGATGACAGGGTGGAGTAAACCAGTGTATTGGCTATAGTGAAAGAAAGCAATCTCACTAGTTGCAGGAACGTGCAAAGTCGGAAGTATCAGAGGCAATACAGTGGAGCACGCTGCTGTATGACTGAACTAACTGATTCCCTGCACTGTCGATCTTCTGCTTGCAACATAAACGTGAACGCTCCATTCTTCTGATGTGTTTCCCACCAATTCTTTGATTCTGTGATCTGACTCTGGTCAGCTGTCCCACTACCGATTTCGCGACCCTGATTCATGATGTTTTTCGGTGATTGTGGCAGGCGTTGTTCTGCGGACTCACAGTTGTTAGACATCATTCCGGGCGTATGGTATCAACTCAATGCCTTCGATGACTGGTTTAGGTCGTATCAGTTCTTTGACGCTGGGGGTCTTTGTCAACAAAGTGAAGTGTCAACTTTCTCATATGATAGCTGAAATTTACAAAACTGAATTCACACAATAAGGTTGAAATTAAAATATCTCCAGGTATGGCAGCCTGAAAGTGACTAGGTTGGATTTGTTTTGATTTTAGCGGGCAAATCTTTGCTTACGACCACCCGAGAGAGTGATCTACTCAATCGATTAAAAGGAAAAGGCCCACGAACTGTCTAACAGTAGGCTGGACGAGATGCCTAGGTGTGAAGTGTGCGAGGATATGCTCGCGAGATTATTGACTATTTCTGGATTATGTGCAATCAATTTTCAACAGTTCCAAGAATGAGAGCGTACTAAAGAATGTCACATACCCCTACTTGATAGCTTAATAGACTGGGCTAATCACCTCATTTTCTGTCACTGCTAAGCTTACCAAAGCAGGAGGTTGCAATGGCATGTGGACTTTGACGCAACCTGCCGCGAAAATTGATCACCAATCAATTAAATGTTGGTGAAAACAATGTTTTTCAGTTATTTGTTTAACACAATACGGAGATTTTCTTTTAGATACGATCGACCAAGAATTAACTGAACGTGTTTCCAGATTCTGATGACTAAGAAGGAATTCTTCACTCTCCTGATCCTTGTTTCTGTCCTGAATGTGGTCTTAAGTGGCTGCCGAACTTTAGAAAGTACCGCTTTATAACAGGAGGAATGTACCATGAAAAGTATAACTACTGAAGGCCTTTGATCCTAGTTAAAACTGCCACCTCGGGTGCGCTTTGTGGACGAAGCTATGTCAGACAATATCGCACCATTGTGTCAACAGTCGCACTACTTTAAGGTAAAATTTAAGTAATCTGGCTCACTTTCGTAGGGAGACCTGATGAATTTTTCATTACCCATTAGTAGATGTTCTACTGTTCACAAGGCAACAACTCAGCAAAAAAAGTTTCTGACTTCATACTTTCAGTGCAAAGTTGTTATGAAAACGGTGTACAATGATGTGATCAACCAAGTGAAGGAATTTCATCCTGAAGGGTTTTGTAAGGTACGTCAGTCGGGTATCTCATGTCCCATTATCTATAAAAATCTTGGGCTTTCATGTTGTACTGCGCTGGTCCTACTTGGAGTAGGTTTTAACCATGATCATGACCGCATTCCCAACTGGGTCATGAATGCGTGCGGTGAAGTGTCATGTGATGTTTTCTCAAGCTTGGATTACAATTTTGCGCTCGGCAACAAGAGTTGGAACATCTCACTCGAGTCTTACTTGACCACCGTCAGCAACTGGAACCTTGTTTAAACCAAAACACATGAGTGTGTGCGCCGTGTTATGGCCTACTGGTACTACACATTTTGGATTTTGCCATCCACTTGCACATTAATGTCCAATTATGCAGGAAATACAGACGTGGTTATAAATTAATGAGACCAAGCGAAATAGCGTTTGTAAGTCAAGGACAGTACAAAAGTGATGTTTCGTAAATACTCTTGCTCGTCGCTTTAGACAAGATTGTTTTATATTTGGTTGGGCACAAACATACCGGTCACTTGCAACCGATCAGAATGTAAGCAAATCGGGTCTCTGGTGATCGGAGGATGTTGCCATATATGTGTGTAGAGGAATAACTCTCTCTTCGTAGGCAATGTTCTTTTCAACTATAAGACCGAAATGGGGTCACAAACACAATACAGTCAAAGTGTAGACAATGGAATACAAAGCCCAGTGTATTATAAGGCACAAGAGCAGTGCCAAATGAAGAAAAATTAGATAATGCTACGCTCAAACTGAAAAATGAAGTTGGAATAAAAACTGGGATCAAAGGCTGAACTGGAAATCTGGACACCTTAACTAAAACTCATGATGATCACTCTGGCATCATATTCGAAATTGACGTTGATAAAAGATAACGAGTTTTAGATTCTTCAGCAGAATCACAATAATTACAATTTAAATACAAACCATAAAGAGCAGCCAATATTACCTTCTTTCAGATGGATTTGCCAACACAAAATCTTTCATCTTCATGTCGTCTCCTAGGTTTAAACGCGTTCGTCATACAAGTGTTTATCGGTTGAAAACCCTTAACAATCTCGGTGAAATTCGAAGGTATGTTGGACTTGCAACCAAGGATGATATCAACAAAGAAAGGGTCAACGACCCGTGATTTCGTCGAGCTCTTAAGTCAAATTAGTTAGTGCCCCAATTCGATTGGTTGCAACGATGGTTGGATTGCAGTGAGCAAATTGCAACCAAAGCGGTTGATGCAGTTCGAGCTTTCCAAATATTTAAGCTATTGCTATAGACATGGTTTCAGCGTTTCTCATCAGCAGCGTGTGTTCTAAACCGTTTGGCACACCTCAGAGATATGGTAAATTGCTAACAGCCACCTTGCCTTCCACTACAAAAGTCCGTTAGTTCCTTTCCACTATTCTAATGGACGGCTCAAATTCCCGCTTTGCGCCATCGCTCAAATTTGGTGTCTAAATGAGAGAGTTGATGAGGTTCTGCAACAAATGATTGCCTACTTGCGATGTTTTATTACCGGAATTTTTCCCTAACCACCATGAATTTCGGGTCCGTTTTGAACGTATTGTTTATTCACTTGCACTCTTGATTCTTGTGGCAAGTTCTTAGCCCACAGAAGAGAGATCCTATATATGTGTCAGTCTTACTAGCAAATTCACACGCAGTGAAAGCAAACTTTGTCGATTAAACTTGATGAGCTTCATGAGGGGGTTGACGTGCTTTGTTAGGATGGTCTTGTAGGAACCTAAGAATGTCGGTCAATATTAATAGTTATATTCCGCTTTTCATCTAGGCGACTCAGAGTAAAAGCAGTACGTTTACGTTGGTTCTTTAAGCTGTGACATAAGAACCGAAGCATCAAGTATTCTTCAGAACTTCTCGGCTTGACAACCAAGGATCGTTAATTCAATGTCGTAGTTCGAATATGATGTCCTGGATTTTATACTGAGACGTGGTGAAAGCTGACAGCTGCTCACAACTTAACATGGGAATGAACGGATGAATGAGAGGTTTGCTTAACGTCCCTCCGTCAGTCCTTTAACAAGGCTTTTTATATGCGCGCAAGATTCCAATTCGTTCGACTATCTCACACAATGCGAATCACTTCCGTTGTGATGGGGACGGCACTCAGAACGTGTTATGTAACTCCGATTTTCTGAGTTCACATGTTTCCGACGAATTTATCAAAAATTTGCAATACGCTTGCTTAGCAGTGAAGAATTTTGTACTGTTCACTGTCCCAGTTTTTCAATAAACTACCTTTCCTTTCACTTACAGCAAGCTGCTATCTGTCCAGCTACATTTTAAGCAAACGGTGGATGAACATATGCGTGAATAAACCAAGTTCTTACTTCCACGCACGCACAATACTGAACTACATACCAGTTTTTGTTCTTCTTCTCTCGCATCACTGGCTTTTGTCGATTGGGAAGATACTATTTAGCCAACTTTTATTTCTCAGAACCCGTATCTTTAAAACTTCAAACCAGCTGAGGAACGAAGAGTGTTCATTTTTGATTAGATCCACATGATCTTTTTGTCCGGTGATTGATATATCCGATGAACTGCAAAATGACGCTAGTTAATATCATATCATTCGTCTGCTTCATTCACATATGCTCATGCATGTAAATTTTTTCCTCCCGTGATATCGAGATTTGATCGATGTTTGTTTTACCTATGGGAGAGCTAGTAAGGAATGGGTAATAAAATTTTCCAAAAAATGCCTGAGGAAATTCAGTCACATTGGTTTTTTTATGGTGCACTTTACGGCTTAGGTATCCTGCAGCTCAAGCCATGGCTGAAATGGAAATTCCTACTTCTCTGAGTCGCAAGTTATTGGCTAGTGTGATTGTGGTAGCTTTTATTTCACCGCCGACTTCTACTTGGCCATAATTCAGAGAAAAGATTCTCAAGAGTAGTTGAGTGGATCACCTAGTATGATGGACCTAGTTTCCAGTACGTGCTCATCGAACCGCACGAAACAAACTGGGCTACTATCATCGTAATGTTCTCCCGCTTGTGAGCTACTGTTATGTCATTGATCCACGAGCTGCATCTAGGGTACTGTCCTGGTGGCCTTCTTATCTACCAACATGTGAAAATTATTGTCTGCTAACCACTTAGAAGTCTAGAGGGCAGTGTTTTGATTATTAAGTCGTAATTAACAGTGGCCGATATTTAGGTATTTCAAACACCTTAACGTCTAACAACTTTCGCATTGTGGAAAACTTCAAAACTCCATTTCGTAACAATATAAAGCAGATGCCCAAAAGTTATATGTGACAAAGAAAGGAGTATTAAGGTGAACGGAACAAAAGACTGAGTACGACCGTTCATTGAGATTACGATTGGTTCATTTTCACACAGAACTTGACCAAGTACGGGCTAAGTAAACTCTATGGCAGGAAAAAGCAGTCGAACGTGAAACGAGAAAACCCCAACAGCAGATGGACAGTTTATTGTACACTGTTGAGCAGTGGTGAGAATTGTTTCTCTCTTGAAAATGTTGTTGTCCATCAGAAAAATGGCTCAAGGTTTGAGATGGTTTTCTCGGGACCTCAAACCACCATAGATGCTTTGAGGGACCAAAACATATTCCGTTCTAAGAATAATCCGTCAGGTAGAGGCGCATTTTCTTCAAAATACTGAGCTGGAGATACAAGTTTTCGAACAATGGAAGAAACATAAGGAGAAAATATATCGTCATTTGAAGATTAAATTGACGGAATCCGACGCTTCTCCCAACATACTAAATTTCGCAGTTCATCCTTAACTCACAAGATATTCGAAAGAAACATCAGAGTTTAATCATTCTACTTAGAGGTTCTTTTCCACGACTTCCCGCAAGTTATTTCGACTCTACTGCACCGAGAACTGTGGCACAACGTTCTTTGTATTGAAGCAATAGTCGGGCAGAAAATCGTCCACCGTTAATTGCAGGTGAAAACAATAGGCCACGTATCCGGCGCGCATATGGTTAAAACGGAATTCGTGGGTCGAAAAGAAAAGCAAAACCGTGACGGGGAGTGCGAGAAAAGAATTGCAATCCCTGTTTACTCAGTTATTGGGGTTTCTTCAATCTCTCACTGATAATTGACTAATTTATATCAATTATCCCGTTTTACAAACAGTCACGAGTGATCAATTCTGAACTGGAAAATACAGTTATGAATGGAATACTCGGTTAGCCGATGAAATATATGGTTATTAGGCGTATGGTATTTAAGTTATCAAACGCAGTCGAATCAGAGCCGCGGTTGGTCGGTCTAGGCGAAGTAACGTGATGACATAGAGTTGGTTAGTGCAGTGGAATGACGGGTGCCTCCTGCGTTGCGAGTTTTTCGTCCAACGACCTTGAGATGTTTTATATCCAGTATTCCATCTAAGTGGTGCTAATGCTTCCTACGGTCACTAAAACCTCTCATTATGCAAGTATCGCCGCTTCTGCCAAACACTGCGATCCCAGCCTGTATTCGATATCGCAGTGTAGCTTTGAGAGACGAGTTTTGTTCTACATAGCAGTCAGATTTGGAGAGAGAGCGTAGCAAATAAGTGCCTGTCATCCTTCCTATGGCCAATACCACCCACCATGACCATTAGTTGGATGTTGTGTACATCCACGATGTAAACAGCTGAACCAGTCGTGAAGTTAAACCATGGTAACGTGGAATGATTTTCGCAAACTTTTGCTTAGGATCTTGTAGAGACAATTACTACGCCGATTTGTATATTTTGGGCTCACAAATATTAGGGAAAAACCACCGTCAAACAGGGGGATACGGAGTCTGTGAGTAACCACCTTCGCACATAACACCCGAACTCAAATGACAATAGGTTAAGTAAACCTTAGATCCCTTATCATTTCTCAAGCTAATATGACTTGCCCACTCCAAAGGCCAGTAACAGCACGACAAAATCACTTGGGCTAGGTCAGTTGATCAGAGAAGGTTTGCCAATTCCTAGGAGTGTTACACTTGGGGTTTTACTCTAATCTGAATAAAACTGAAGAACCAGATGCCAAAAACTTTGTGAGAGATGGAATTTGACGTGGAAAGTTTTGACACAAAACCACTTATTATTGAGCCAATAATCGCAGTCCAACCGGCCCAGTTCCCTATAACTCTCATAGATGTTCTTCAAATGAGCCTCTTCGAAAACTGAGTGAGGTACCATGGACCGCTAAATAAGCATTTATAAACAAACGTCTCTAGAGTACCTTTGAAAAATTCTGGGTTATATGCACATATATTTCCTTTATTTATCTCAGAAAAAGCAATGGAAATTTCGTTTGGCAGGGATGGATAATCTGCAAGGAGTTTGGTGCAGTTTTTTAATCTGATGGTATGTAAGGGATTTCAGTGTGACGTAGCTATTCTCAACTTGGTGTCACGGACTGGCAGTAGTGAGCATTCTGAAAAGAATAAAGAACAATCTAAAAACAGGTCGAAGAGACAAATTTCAAACTTGACAATCGAGTTTTTCGTACTGCTTGGCTCAAAGTGCTCCCCCTTTTGCCTACTTCTAAAAAGCTTCGATAACGTTCTATAGAATACGAGGTAAAGTCTTGGTCAGTTTGTTTATTATAAGCTCTCTAATCCTCTCTAAATTTGTTGGTCTGCCGTGATACATTTTTCTACTTTCAACACGACGTTGGAAGGGGTGACATTGTTAAACGTGATAGCCATCGACTGGGCTCTCCTCGAGAATCATTTAGCAACAAAATGACCAACCCAAAGTACACCATATGGAGGAGATTTATCTTACTAGGGTCACACCAATCTTCGTTTGGTCTACAGTCACACGCTTAGCTTTCGAAAACTGACAACTGTGGGAAGCAGCTTTTAGATTTCTTCTTTCACTTCGTGCAGCTTTTCACAAGGCCCTTGGAAGCCGATTACATGGCACCTAAATCAGTCTGGAAGCTTCCAGTACAATCTATTCAGGACACCTCATACAGATAACCAATCACTGAACCAAAACATGGATTATATTTTATCCTCACATCAGTGAACGTCGGTCCATACAAGCTGGACTGCAATGATCAGTCGGGGTAGGTTGCAAGAGTTGTAGATAGTTCGTTCATACCACTGGCATTTGTTCGGTTCCATTCTTTGGCATCGAAATTTGGAGCAATCAGTACAAGTTCCGCTGTTTCTAGGTAACGAAAATAAATCGTTCAGCTTTAACACCTTTTCGGTGCCCAGCTGCCATGTCACCAGAAGGAGGTACGAGAGCTGAGATACTCTCACGTTGCCCAAGCCTGAACAGGGGAAGTAGAGAGGCAGTGCTCGAGTTCAAACCATGGACCCTCCGGTCAGTAAATTCGCGTTGTAACCACCGAGCTGTCTCACCCCGTGTTGTTAGAGGTCATCTTCGACAAATGTTCTCGGCCGTTCCGGAATTTGAAGCAGTGGCATCCAACATGAGAGGCGACTTTTTTTACCAGTACTTTATGAGCGCATGTAGGACGATCTAGATTAGTCCCATTTGAACGAGTGAATAGGTTCAGGATGAGGACTGCTCAAACGAGGGAGATATATGTGACAATCCTACGGATCCCGCCACCATCTACATCTAAAAAAGTCCTGGAGGTCTGGAGCTGCCGTGACTTCATTTGATTGGGAGATCCTGACAAACGAGGCTACTCGATAAGCACTCATACACCAAGGGCGCGGGTAATGCCGGTTAGAACCACTTTCATGGCATGTTAAAACCTCCACATGGACAACAAAGACTGGTCGTTACTTGCTGGTGGCGCTTCTGTCTTTCGACTGAAAAGTAACTAACCACCTGTCCAGGATGGCATTTTTATAGTACTATAAAACGGAGCGAACAAAATACACATTGATGGGATATATTTCAAAGCCAGTTGAATCACCACCATAAGCGACTGTGGTGGCTTGTCGAGATTTAATACGTATGTTCTCAGGAAGTTCTTTGGTGTTTGTTTGTGTAAGATGAATATTCTATGCAGTAATATAGAGAATCATTGGAGTGAAGCACGTAGAACAATTGAGCCCATCATAGAGTCCATCTTCGTCTGAGTGATCAACTTCTTTGTTCACTAAGGTCGGTTGGTCTAAGGGAGGAATACCATGTGCGAAACCCTGGGAAATTGTCAAATGCTTTGCATTCGAGACCAGCGGTACTTTACTGAAAAGTAGTGATAGAGTAACAGTCTTTTCAGTATCGTTCAGCCGATCGGTGTTACCAACCGATAACAATGAAAACTCAGTATCGTGGATATTGCGAAATGCAAGACGTCAGCATATACTTACCTGGCAGATTTTCACAGGATCGAAGGTAACCCGGAGATGATTAATGGCACTGATCACTACCTCCATCATCACAATTCGACACTATTTGAAGACAGAAAACAGTGCCGTACGAGAAAATTATTTCAGTGACCAGAACATAATGTCCACAATCCCTACATTACATCTGGTTTGGCCAAGTCTTATGTTTACCTCACACACATTTTCCTGTTCTTCTTTTTAATACATCCTACTGGTTTATTGGATTCATTCTAAAAACTCCACTTTTAGCTCCCGTTTTGTTGAACTTCCCATGAGCTTCAATACTTTGAAACAAAGTCCCTAGGTAACTTTGTTTCTCATTGTACATCAGCTACGATATTGTATGCTTATGATAGAACCTTAGGGTTACCTATCTCTTCCGTTCCAAGCAGATTATTTGTTTCTTTCAGAGAAGAATAACCCAAATAAGTGAGAAAGAGGAATTGAAGCGGGGCTAGTTATGTTACTGTATCTCGCCCCATCGAAAATCTCCTATGTGCTTTCTACTATTGGATTTTACGGTCTCTACAAAACTGGTCAGCATTGAATTTGAAAATATTTCTTGCCTCATCTCTCCACTAAGTACCCTTGCTGACCTTTTAACGACAGTCAGGGTGTGGTTTAAAGTTAGGTTCTAAACGATACAAAAAAGCAAAACCACTGCTGCGCCTCAGCTGGTTGTCCCACCCAAGTTATTCTGCACTGATAAGAATCAACGAAAAGTGTGTAAACTGTCTGCTACATACCAACGTTTATACCGGATGGGCAGATCACCAAGTTGGGTGTATCTCTCTTTCGATCTGGTATGCACCTTTGAGATATGCAAAGTTATGTATTCCATCCACGGAACGTGTAGCACAGCAACTTGCATATTCCACATGTGTCTGCTAGATCTTATCATCCCGCTTTATCGCAATGCGTACATACTGTCCAAGATTGCAGCTACAGTGAGAACTTACCACTAAAAAGGTAGCAGGATGTGAACGGCAGATTCCGTATGCAAAGTTGGTCACTTGTTGTATTACCGGCTGCGAGAATACTACGCTCTTGAAGTGGGACACTGTGTCGGTGCAAAGTGGACAAACTGAAACAAAGAAAGATACACGATAGATACGCTCATTAGCTTATCAATTTGGTTTTCATAAGAGACTCAACTAAATCTCTCGTTTGTGATAGTCTTCAACTGACTGTGCTGCATAAAGGCCACTTCGTGTTTCAGTTGGTAAGATAATCGGGAATTCGATAAGGGAAATTGATCGGATGACTACGGAAATCTCTCCGACAGTCCACGATACAAAATGTCATCAGTTCGCTTGTTGATTGCGGGCAACAAGCACGTGATTACACCTTGCATCAGTTTCTGTTCTCACATGATCAGGACTCCTTCGGTGAATGAACAAAATATGAGGAAAAAGTACACAGGGGCTACCCAACAACGCCGTCAAACAAGTGAAGCCCAGAAGAAGCAGATTTGGTGACTTATTACTGTATTTGAATGTTTTAAGAATATACAGAAGAATTAAAATGATGCTTTCTCATAGACCATTCATCTCAACTTGATACACCTCTCTTCCTCATAGTAGTGTGGTTAGGAAACCTAAATCATGTTGTTCAGAGATCGGACTTGATCCTCAGGAAGTACTCATTGGTAGCTGCTGAAGATTCGTCACTCAAAGTAAAGAGGATATGTATCTTAATAGGGGACATTTTTTTGAACATGTTTATGTGTGCCTCATTTCCGATCGTTTAAAGTTTGGAGTTTAGCTGCGTCGCTCTCAATGACAAAGTGTACTGGAAATTTAGAGTTTCGCGTGTATACGATTCTCTCATGCTTACAATCAACTTTACTGGATCACTGATTATTGCTGTTGATATTCTCAAATAGTTGCAGTTTACAATTAGGAATCTAGGAAGTTTTAAATCTTGCGCTCGTACTGGGGCAAGAGCGAGCAAAACGAAACAGGCCGGAATCAACATCCGTTGCTTTCGGATGAGGAGAATTTTTGGATATGGCGGGAAAGATAGTGGACAGTTGTAGCTTTAAACAACAATGGTCCAAATGGTTTAATCGTGACGAAAATTCCCAAAAATTAGCATATGATAAATACCAAAATCATACCAACGTCATAGAACTTCTCGGGGACGAATGTGCCTCGGGTACGAAACAGGTGGTCGAAATCTGCTTGATGAATTTTGATCCTATATGAGGTATTTTTAGAGTAGCAATTTCTGTAAAACCGAGCTCCAGGCTTCTAGCACTCTTTGCACAATACCCTGATCTTGCGATCAGTTAGTGAAAAACGAATTGCGATATTCTGTCCTTTCATTAAATTCTGATGTGCCAGATTTCATCACACAAATTTGGCTCCCTGTTTATTTATTTGTATAGCCGCGGTACACTTTTCTACGCAGGACCGTCGCACATATGCTGTGTGGAACATACTGTGAAAATAAATGTCTTGGATAATGGAAGTCTTTGCTTATGGGGCTTTTTATCACAGCATTATTACCAGTAGTAAATGCACCGCGGACTGAAATGGTGTTTTCGTCCGTTGGTTTTGGAGGTTGGTCAGCCAACACCTGGAAGTATTTTAGACAAGATTTGTGAAATCCATCTGATAGGGAATTCAGCATTATGCTATACAGCCCGGTGAAGTTTTTTGGCCTGTCTAGTCTACAGCAAACTTGCTTATTTGATGACATCAAGTATCAGTACAAAGCATTTTAGGTGTTAGCACTTGTTTTCAGTTTTTAATTAGCTTAATTATCTGAACCATACATAAAAATTCTCCATTCAATTGACTTTTTGAAGGCTGTTGGGCTGCTACAAAGAAGTGTTCTGAAAACTTTCATTCGTATGCAAGATCGCGAAAACAGAGAACACGCCAGACCTGTCCCTTTCCATTTACACCATAGTTTGGAAGGGAATGAGGATATCCTGTTCTGCACTACATTTTGTGATGTTTGATATCTTGTGTGGTATTTCATTTTTTTCCTTCAAGGATGACGTCAGCGTCGCAACGTTTGTTGCTAACTGACCGTGTTTTCATGATAATTTATTTTCATATGAAATTTAGTGAGGATCTCAGATTCTTTATAGTCCCACTAACTGAAAGATGTCTAATGCTTGAAACCCATAACTACATTAGTGTCCATCTTCTCTGTTGCAAATATCATGTTTACTCTCGTTTGTAAGCACATTGCTGAGAAAATACGACGCACGAGGCAGTCTGCTTTAGCCATATAGTGGAGCACATAAGCTCCGGATTTAGAAAATATTATCCAGTTTTTATATCTACCATTGGTATAACAGTTGAAACTTGCTTCAGTGCAGCCAATTATTTAGCAATATTTTCGCCCAGTGATTGGCATTTCGAAGTGATTCTCTGGAAGTCCGTTTCCTTTCATATTTTGACATTCATGGTTCATTATCAAATATCACGTGTGGTTAGAAAACTTACGATTGATCTTCGGTGCATCACGACACACGTTGAAAAGCTGATGAGTGAATCAGTAGTTGATCAGTGAGTAGTATGTAGCATAGTGACGAAAATGGTAAGGTGAAGACTGCGTATGAACAAATGACTCTTGTGCCATTTATGACTGGTCAGGTCACGATTGCTGACAAAAATTTGCGATAAAACTCGCGCTACTAGGCAGTAATGAGTAGTTGCGGTACGGTGCTAAAAAGACCGACATGCCATCCCATACATGCGTCTGGGATCAGCTGTAGTGTCGTGCGGCGATTTCTGGCACCAGTAAAACATCACGAAGTGGTCTGGTCATCCACAAGTAATGAGTAATTGAATGAGTGTTTTGGATTTGGACATAATTTCAGGACGAATTACCTCTATGTCATCAAAGAACAAGATGAACTTGATCAATCATGCAACCTGGATGCCTGAAAATAAGTGTGGCTAACAAATCTAGAGTATCAGAAGACTAGTGCCAAGTATTATACTGTGATGCCTTTCGAAACCAAGTGAAGTTTGTGTGAAAGCACGGCTCAACATTGAAATTCATTTACAAACTAAATATCATACACAAAAGATACCGTTGACCTTAATATCCTTTTTCCGTGTGCTCATCTCGATATTTTTTTATTCTTCAGCTTTTATCTTGCAGTAGACTCGGAGATTTTCCTTTACAAAGCAAAACAATACTTTGGGTACCGTAAATTTTCATAAGTTAATCACGGTTTTGTTGCTGTTAAAACAAAACTAGCAGACAACCAAAGCGGATTTGCAGCATATTCTATGGTAAAAAAGTGTCTTCGTTCATATTTTGATATCACAGTTTCAACAATCATCTAGGAAATGCAAGAACTTTGCGTTTTTCAAAGCCTAACACCGTGACTTACATCTAAAAATTATGGCTAATGCAATACCTGGTTAAACTGCACTGAGTTTCTATAGGCTATATATCACGTTCGCACTATTGATTTTACGCACGAAGCCAAATAGTTATACAGCGTGGGGTTAAAGTTCGCAATTGTGCATAAAACGTGGCAATTTTCTCAGTCCAAAGGGTTTTATTCTGCCTGCAGCAAAGCTCTCAGACGACTCACCGCACAAATCTGACTTGCAGTTAGATTCTTCATTGTATTAAACGCAAAATGGACCGCGTCCTTTGTCATATCGGCACACTAGGGAAATGTAATAGAGATCACTTTCAGATTAATATGATAGTTTCAACTGACGTCAGGTGCAGTTATGCCAACGATGCTCTGTATTCTTTATTCTTATTTACAATTCAACGCAAAATAGGACACAAACACGCGATTACGAAGGAAACTGAAGCTGAAACGGAGGTAAACTGCAACAAGTTGGTTGGACATAACTGTGCCTTAATTCCTAGTCGGAAAATCAGTTCATTCGAGTTGGGGTCATTTCGGCTTAGTTAAGCTAATTCAACTGACAAACGTGCACCGAAATGCAGCTTCTACCGCTTTGTTCGTCGAAGAGATAGGGAATACGAAATAGGAGCTACGCGTTGGAAGCGATGACCCAATTGGCCTATTGAGATCGAATGGTACCTTTTCCCATGTATGGCAGGGAGTCGGAAATACTCAAAGGTGATAGGTTTGGTGCAACACCACCAGTGAATGTGTAATGCAGCCCTACCCGTCAGGTCTCGTGATCCCCATCCGGTGAGACAGCATTTAGCCGAAAGTGATTTGAATAGCAAGGGGTTTCGTGCTATTTTTTCAAGTCATGGAATGGAAAAATACGATTTAATAAATCCTGAATGAAGATATGACTCCGAGAACATTCCCCGTAGAACAGCTGTCATATGGTTTGTTGGATTTTAGATGAACCTGTTGTTCTGCAGTACACAGAACAGTCCGCTGATGGGTACTTTTGAAATGGTGTAGCTAAATATTGCGGCTCCGAAGAAATTTTGGCATTCATTGAGTCCAAAGAATAGGCAGGGTGGGAGATGATTTAGCTGAACATCCCACTTGGTAGTTGCTTGGAAGATTCCTACCAAATAGTTGGCTGCATGCATATTCATTTGTGAAAAAATCATAGGGAAGCGGGTTTCGGGTGTAAATGAACTGCAAGAAGGATATGTGCACCCTACTTGTCCATGGGGTTAAGTTGGACACCTTTAAACAACTTCCCATAGAAGTTGCCAGTAGTTTTTGTCCGAATAACTGCGCAATTCAACGTGGCATATCATAATGCTTCTCGTTTTAATCTGATGTTAGAACTCAGACTACGTACAAGTAGTCAATTGGAGGACTTTGGGATCGATTGAGTAGTCATCGTTTCAGAGAGGTTTGCCTGTTTACCAAACCTCTCTGAAACGATGCATACATGTAGGTGTTTTACCACTTTTTTTCTTGTCCGAAAATTGAGCTTGAATGAGCTCGCCGCGTGTTTTTTGTTTTTTACCCTTCAAGATTGCAAACAAGCAATCTTTTTAACGAAGTAGGCGATACTGAATCAAATCCATTTTGCAGATCAAGTTCCTATTCTAGCTGTCGGTACTGAGGCTCTCTTGTGTTCTGCCTCCATCAATGAGACGATTTGTGGATCAGTTTTCTTCGTTCTGATACTCAGCGTGAAAGGCCTATCAGAAGCTTTCATTCACGAGAACCATGCGCCAACTAAAAAGCTGTTGTGATACTTAACCTCTTGTGTTTGACAAACTGGGTATTTAATGGCCTTTTGGTGCAGTATGTAATGATACGAATGTCAATTATTTACAAAACCTTGAAGAACATCGCCAGTATGGTAGGGTCACACGTGCCTTTTCCCCAAATTAAAACACTGAGCACTCACTGTCTGATTATACACACCAAGTTGTGCACATGGCAAGGCCAGCTTGTATAGGATCCAGTCCCTTGTTACATTACTTTCAACGAAAATCTTTGCACCACCAGTAGTCACTTGGCAAGTGAGACATTCTAGAATGAGGTTGCATGAAAAAGATATTTTGAAGCGGTACCTAAAGACATGAAGATTTTGAGAACAAAGGTTTGTGAGAAACAATGCTTACCGAGGGCACCGGAGTTAACCGCCAATGCGGATCTTCCCTGGTTGTACAGACCTTTCTGAATAGGCTGGTGTATTGATAAAACAGGCAAGTAAAAAAACAAAACAGAAACTTTAGAAAACTTTGAATAGCCAACCGCTTGTTCGTTAATTCATTGCGAGAAAGTGTTTTGACAAGTGAAACACTTATTTCTCTATCAGTGATAGTTTTTAGCAACCCTTTACACGTGCATAACCTCCACACCTCAGGTCAAAAGCAAGCAGCCAATTTTCGGTTTGCTATGGCAAACCTCGCACAGCAGCATCGGAGCAATACACTGACCAGAAATGCCATTATACGAGCTAAATGCGAGCTATAACTTCATGAACAGGAACAATAACCGGACAATCGGGAAATACATCCGTGCTTCCGCTGTGCATCGCCCACTGTGTAGCCTCACGGTAAAAAAAACAGACTTTTCGGATGAGGTTCACTTTTTTCCTTTCTGACTAGACACTTTCGGAAAGTCTGGGTTTCGTAAAATTCGGCTTTGTTAGCAGCAGGTGAGAGTAAGAATGATGGCCCCACAGAAAGACTTGAAAGCTGTTTTCCGTACTCATGCCCAGAACAACGTAGATTCCGACAAATTTCTTTAGGAAAAAGTGGCAGTTTTGGGAGATGAAATGGGCTTACTAAAAGTCTCGGTAAGATTGATGCGATGGATATGATACAGATTATAGATGCCAACCAATGGCAATCACGTGATGGCTTTCTAATCAGATAGGCTGAATGAGTGTCTGGGGGTGTAGACACCTCAGAACGGTTGTTTTGGAATTTCAGTAGCCCCATTCCCATACCGACTTCTGTTCTTTACCACAATAAAGGTTTCGGACACTTTGCGGTTCCGCGACAGCAAAGCACTAGTTTTGAAAACTAATGTTTAGTTGTTGATAGAAATGATTGTGCACGAATAATACAGCTGTTACTAGCCAGATCGTAAGAGCCCAACTATGATGTGTCCTGTGTTATGCGCTATCTTCAAACTAAGTTAAATATTATGAAAAAATAACTGCTGTTCCTTTAGCTGATTTTATTGCATTCTAACTGATACGGCACGGACAAAAAGAAGTGGGTACTGGTGTTGAAGGATGAAGAGGGTTTTGAAACATCACTTCCAACAGCTGGTAAACCTCCTGAAGGTTTGGAATGTCCACTGTCATACGATCCTAATTGGTCGATGACAAGAACCTATATATGAGGAAGTATGGGTATCAACCAGTCGAATGGTATCGAAAACCTGCTTTGTCTGAACACTTGATACAGCCGTCATTTATTTCATTGGGTCTTTGAAGATTATTCTTTCAAACTGGCTAAGGATAAATACACCGATTTCTAACAGAGACAAGGAACTTCGGTTATTGTTTCAACTCTGGTCAAATAGTAAAATATTGTTGTTCGGTTAAATGTCGAGATCAGGTCGGTTGGTCTGTGTTTCCTACATGAGGGTCGCTGCGTATGGGTTTTTAGTATTTTTATTGGGTGGGTTTACCCCGCACCCATAGTGCAACAGATAACTAAGTGCGAAGGGTCACCCGAATTTCTCCTCGATGTTCTCATCACTTTGGTGATGCGATCGAAATAGGTGATACTTTCCAGCTGATGGTTCTTGTACGGTATATAAAGTACTTGAGAGACTGAGTCCAAATTTACCGCAGTGACTTTGGTACTATCTAGTGATCAGGCGCTGCTTAATCACCAAACTAAGCATGGCCTTTCTTAAAAGTCAAAGGCACGTTCCTTAACCAGGTAGAAGGTGATTTCAAATTTGTGTTCATCAGAATATTTCCCGCCTGATACTGTCAACCGACAGAATATGCAGTTCTGATTATGTATATATATATATATATATATATATATATATATACTGTGCAGTTTCGGCGTACAATAACTATGCTCTCAGTAATTCATTACTGCTGCACCGAAGGTAAATGGAGAAGCCATTTCATAATCACACAAACAACGTCATTCACGTAGACACTACAATTCCATCGACCTGAGTAGAACTTCCAAAGAGACATTAAATTTTTTCTTTCCCGTGGAATATTGACGAAGGCTTTGAAAGACATTAATGTCATGAACATTCCTACTTATGCACTGCAGTGTATCACCACGTGGTACACAGTCATATCGTATAATAATGCATCATATTACATCGTTCTACAATACACCATATTATAAATAAGGTGGTCGTTGGCTTGTACGCTGAAACGTTTGTAATCAAATTGCCCACCTAAGCGAACAAGCCAGCGACCACCATCTACGCTACCTGAGCTACCGACATTTTCCTCTATAGAAAACGGAACTTTTCGGCCAGTGGTTGAACACTTAAGTTTGGCCATTAATGGCTGCTCAGCAGAGGGATTTGCTCTCATT